AGGAAATGTCACATATGTGATTTGACTCAATTACCAGTTTTAATCAGTTAACAGCGCTATCTATTTTTGTTTTGTATTATTAACATTCATGTCAAACCTCACACTGTGTAATATGTTGATGCAAATGTCATATTATTTGACACTTTACACCTGACCTTAAACTTCAAGACAACACAATAAAAAAGCAAGAAGTAAAAAAAAAGAAAAGAAAAAGAGAGAGACCACGAAGTGAAGCAAAAAGCATGAAAGAAAGAATGAGAATCTGTCATCAGTAGTTTGCTGCCAGTCAGTTGCTCTGCCTGTCACCCTGTTGATCCATCTTTATTTGTCTGTTTGTTTGTCTCCTATTCTCCGACGCTTTCGCGTTCACACACCTCACCGTTCTGCTTATTCCTGCACAATAAGAAAGCTTCTCTCACACACACTGTCAGTATTTGTCAAATCCACACACACTAATGCATTGAGCTCTCAGAGACTTGCACATTGTTGTCTTCGGCGGTAGACACACAAACACGCTCACAATGCACCAACAATATCTAACCATTGCTGAACAATACATTTCTTTTTTCCCTTTTTTGGGCATAAAATCATTATTTTTACTAAAAAGAATCTTCCTGTTAATGATTTGCATCGTGTTGTAAGTGTTTCCCTTTTAATTTGCTAGTTGACATCTCTCTGTCCTACTTCAAAGCTTCAGAAATATCAATGCTTTTACCAATAGGACACCACAGGGTAAAATCAAATCCAATTGGTTCTTTTATTACATTCAGAAGTGGGTTCAGTGAATGATCTGACCTTTGAAAATCGCCAATCAGGGATGTTTTGATGCCCACACTTTTCTTTTGATTCAAGTCGAGCTCTTTCATATGGTGAAAACTGTTTTGCTGTCTAGTTACAAATTAATACTAGGGTTTCAAACACAAATTTGACTTGTGGAGGAGTCCAATCTGGCCCGATAGATTATTTGAATTGATTAAAAAAAAGTGTAAAAAATTATTATGATTCAAACCATTTATTCTTTAGTTTAACAGTTACAGCTAATTTGTTGTGTTGCATGTTAACGGGAAAGTTCACTCAAAAATTTAAATTATGTAATAATTGACTTGTTCCAAACCTTGTATGAGTTTCTTTCTTGCGTTAAACACAAAAGAAGATATTTTAAAGAATGTTGGAAACCAAGCAGCTGACGGTAGCCATTGACTTCCATAGTATTTTTATTATACTTTGGAAGTCAATGGCTACCGTCAACTGTTTGGTTACCCACATTCTACAAAATATCTTCTTCTGTGTTCAACAGCTGAAAAAAAAAATCATACAGGTTTGGAACAGCTTAATGGTGAGTTAACAATGACAGAATTTTTGAATGAACTATCCCTTTAAATCTTGGATACAGTTTTTTTTTAAACAATTGTAGTGCTGTCAAACGATTAATCGTGATGAATCACATCCAACATAAAAGTTTTTGTTTGCATAATATATGTGTGTGTTCTGTGTATATTTATTATGTATATATAAATACACACACATACAGTATATATTTTGAAAATACTTACATGTATTTACATGTCTATATTTATATTCATATAATTTATATTATAAATAAATATATTTAATATATAAACATAACATATTTTTCTGAAATATATACATGCATACAGCACACATACATATATTATGTAAACAAAATTTTTATTTTGAATGCGATTAATCGCGATTAATCGTCTGACAGCACTAAACAATGGTTTATGTTAATTTCTCAATACCTACTGTACAGCACAATAGCAGTGTCTGGGGACTAAACTGTGGATCATTTTATCTTTCTTTTGATACAAAATGCATTTATAACGAACATTTGGCAAAATTCATCCTTTGCATTTACATATTTTGCATTAGTAAAAATGCACAACCCCTTTTTGCACATGGGACTGTTTGCCCTATGGTAGAATGGGTTGATTTTGAGAAATGTTCTGATGTTTTTAATGCTTTTGACATAAAATAAACTGCTGAGTGAAAGTGGAGGAATGTGAAGAATTTTGAAAAAATACTTGTAAACGCGTAAAAACAAGTGGTAAAGCCTTTTTTTAGTTATGCAGGGCACTTGAAC